ACTGTGTTAAGTATTGTGGCTAGTGAAGAGCTCTATCTAGAGCAGTTAGACGTGAAGTCTGCATTTCTTCACGGAGACCTAGATGAGGAGATCTATATGCACCAGCCTGAAGGTTTTTCAGAAGGAAAGAAGGATATGGTGTGTAAATTGAAGAAGAGCTTGTACGGCCTGAAACAAGCTCCAAGACAGTGGTATAGGAAGTTTGAGAGCTTCATGCACAAGGAAGGATTCCAGAAGTGCAATGCTGATCACTGTTGTTTCTTCAAGAAATATGAGTCCAGCTATATCATATTGCTACTTTATGTCGATGACATGTTAGTAGCAGGATAAAATATGAAAGACATCAAAAATTTGAAGATGCAGTTGTCAAAAGAATTTGACATGAAGGACTTAGGCCCAGCGAAGAAGATTCTTGGAATGCAAATCACGAGAGATAAGCAAAAGGGAGTTTTGCAGTTATCTCAGGCAGAGTACCTCAACCGTGTTTTGCAGAGATTTAACATGGACAAGGCCAAGCCAGTCAGTACACCTTTGGCCAACCATTTTCGTCTATCCAAGGATCAGTCTCCTCAAACAAAGGAAGAAGAAGAGTTAATGGCTAAGATTCCTTATGCTTCAGCCATTAGAAGTTTGATGTACGCGATGGTCTGTACGAGGCCAGACATTGGCCATGCAGTGGGAGTTGTGAGCAGATTTATGTCAAAACCAGGAAGCAGTCAAACGGATCTTGAGATATCTACGAGGCACAACAGAAAAGTGTCTGTATTTTAGAAAATGAGTTCTAAAGTTACAGGGCTACGTAGATGCAGACTTTGGAGGTGAAGTTGATCACCGGAGAAGCACCACCGATTGTGTTTTCACTGTTGGGGCTACAGCTGTTAGTTGGATGTCGCGGATACAAAAGATTGTTGCTCTATCCACTACAGAGGCTGAGTATGTAGCAGTGACAGAAGCCAGTAAAGAATTGATATGGCTTCAAGGATTGTTAGCAGAGTTGGGTTTCACTCAAAAAGAGAGTGTCTTGCACAGTGACAGTCAGAGTGCGATACATCTGGCAAAGAACTCAATGTTTCACTCCAGAACTAAGCACATTGACATACGATATCATTTCATCAGATCTCTGCTTGAGGATGAAGTATTGACTTTGAAGAAGATTGTAGAAAGCAAGAACCCAACAGATATGCTAACGAAGGTGGTGACCATTGACAAACTGAAGTTGTGCTCGACTTCAGTTGGCCTGCTAGAGTAACAGACCGAAGAAGACTACTGCAGTAATTGAAGTGTGAGGACAGATTGAAATCGGTCCTCAAGTGGGAGATTGTTGAGTAAAAAATGGGCAGCTGAGCCCATACCTTTTGACAATCCCAACATCTTAAAACATTTGAAATCAGCAAAAGAAGAAAAGAGGAAGCTCACAGATGTTGAAAAATGACAGCACACAATGGAAGAAAAATAAAGCACCAGTTTTTTGAAAAAGAAGGTGCATTTCACTCTATAAATAGATGGAATCGGATGAAGCAAGTACACAACAAATACAAAGCATCTTAAAGAGAGAAAAAGAAGAGAGGTGTGAGAAAGAAACAAAATATTTAGCTTCTGTGTGTATTTGAGTTGTGAGCTGTGAGTGAGTTTGCGAGTGTTTTGTAAACACGAGTGTTTTCTTTTCTCCTAATAAAATATCTGCAGTAGTCCGGAGACGTAGGCATTATTGGCCGAACTCCGTTATCAATTTGGTGTGTTCAATTTTTTTATTTCACTTTTATAGATCCGACTTAATGGAGATTTCAGCGTATTTTTCCCAACAGAAGATACAATAAATAATATAATAACATAAATGTTAGTTGTAGTGGAGTGATTTGAATTTTTTATTTTATTTATGATTTATTTTAATAGTAATGAGTTAAGTGAAAGAATACAGTGGAATTATTTTGATGTATATATATGTTACGTGTCAATTATTTTGATGTATCTACAAGGTTTGGTTGACATTCATCTTTGTAATTTATACCAATAATATAGTGACTAGTTAAATTTTAGGAGGTTCATATTTTCATTCGCTGTGTCCACTTTCATATTTTTCTATGTTATTTTTTCGTTATACCTTTAACAACAATATCTATATCCTATATAACATTTGTTTGTAGTTTGAAATATTACATGTACAAGTAAATTAAAAATCTATTCATATGAACTACAATTGTTGAGCTAAAGGTGTAATTTTAGTAGAGCTGAGTACAGATGAGTGAAATACTCCTTGATCAAGTCCGCACTCCGTTTAATTAACAAGCTAGGTCGGACCGTTTAAAATCGCAGTTCGACCTGTTTAACAAAGCGAAGTTCGTTTATGTTGTTTGCAAACAGCGTTTGCGAAAATATTTGACTTGATGTTTGTTTGAAACCTATAATTTTTTCTTAAGAAAACATAAACGAGTTGTTTGTGAATGTGTTTGGCTCAACTCGTTTACTAAATGAACTCGATCAGTTGATCGAACTCGACTCTTTTAAGTAAATAAACAAGAGAAGTTCGAACTTTCACAGCCAAACTGTATTTATAATAATTCAAATAATACGGTCCCGTTACGGAACCATTAGACCATCCACGACGGTTATATAATGATCTAATAGAATCTCGACAGAATAGTTCTGGGGAAAAAAAAAAATCTTAAAAAGAATCCTCAATAGTCAATCCAAAAATATTGGCATACAAAACATTTTCAAAAAATTCAAAAAGAAAATCCTCGTTAGCAGTAACATCAGAATAGTTTTCCCAAAATCATGGCGACATAGTTTCTGCTATATGTCAACATACTGTCGACAATTCCGTACTCCATTGCCCGCCATTACCAATCACGCGCCACTGTTGAGCTTAGCAACCATGGATTCTCTCGCCATCCTATCCTCATCCCGCCAATATTCTTCTCCCTCGCTTTCTGCCTTAAATTTCTTCGCATTTTGGCCTGCAGTTTTTATCGTTCTCAGGCGCATTTCGTCGAACACAAGCGATACAGTTCGAAATCTTGATTTCTGCTGTGAATTTTTCCCTTAGTGCCTGCATTTTCGGAGATGGGATCGTTGCCCGCCATCGATAAGCCTCTGGAGTATCCATTAGCTCGTCGAGATGAGTCCGTGGTTGACGACTATCATGGCGTCATGGTCCACGATCCTTACCGATGGTAATGGTGTAGTTTCAAGTTTTAATTTTTATTCAACTTTTTCTTAATTTCTATCACTGGGTACGCTTAAAAGGGATTAACAAATTTCAAGTTGTAATTTTTCGTTGCTTTATAGTTGTAATAACCTTATCATGGGAGCTTGGGGATTGTAGGTATGGAGATCCCAAGAGGCTTTTGATTTGTTCAACTGTCCTTGTTTTGCTTATTTGAATTTTAATTAAAAAAAAAAAAATCCGAACTTTTATGTTTAGGCTTGAGGATCCTGATTCTGAGGAGACAAAAGACTTTGTGGAGAAGCAGTTGAAGTTAACAAATTCTGTGCTCAAAACCTGTGAAACAAGGGAAAGGCTTCGCGATAAGCTTACAAAGCTATACGATTTTCCCAAGTATGGTGCTCCATTTAGAGCCGGGGACAAATACTTTTACCTTCACAACACGGGTCTGCAACCACAAAGGGTTCTATATATTCAGGTTTTCGTCATGCGTTAGCCTGTGAATATTTAATGCTACTTACATTGAACTTTTTCTTGAAGTGGTTGGTTGTACGCCATGTCGAACTGGAAAACTTTATTAGAGCTCCTTCTTCTGATTTTCTTTCTTTCATTTGCTTTTTGGGTGGTGTAGGATAGTTTGCATGGAGAGCCTGAGGTTTTGCTTGATCCAAACACATTGAGTGAAGACGGTACAGTGGCTTTGAATACTTATGCAGTTAGTGAGGATGCAAAATACTTGGCATACGGCATTAGTTACAGTGGAAGTGATTGGGTGACTATCAAAGTTATGAGGATTGAGGACAAGACAGTCGAGGCCGACACTGTTTCATGGGTAGATTTTCCAAAATTCATGATACGAACAAAATTTTGATGGTATTATTATATGTATAATGTATAATGACAATTAGTTATGTTTCTCCTAATGCAAATTTATATACTACAGGTTAAGTTTTCGAGTATTAGTTGGACGCACGATGGCAAAGGTTTTTTCTACAGTCGTTATCCAGACCCAGGGTAGGTGGTGATTAATTCTGATCACTTGTTCAACTTTTAATGTTTTGTTTCATCATTAGTTTATGCAGAACTAAGTTGACATGAATATTGTTATGACATTGGTTAGTGACTTAGTTCTGATCTTTCATGTTGTATGGTTTTGAGGGCTAGAAAATTAGATGCTGGGGCAGAGACACAAGTCAATCTACACCATGAACTGTATTATCACTTTTTGGGTACTGATCAGTCGGAAGATATACCGTGCTGGCGGGACCCGGACAATCCTAAACATACACGTTCGGCCTCTGTGACAGAGGACGGGAAGGTACTAAATTTTGGTTTACTTCAAAATACTGCAAAATGGTTTGTTATAGTTTTTATTTATTTATTTTTTGCGTCTGTTTCCGGTTTGCAGTATGTTCTTCTGTACACATACGAAAACTGTGGTCCAGTCAACAAGATTTACTACTGTGACTTATCAGCAATGGCCCAAGTGCTCAAGGGCCATAGAGATAGAGCCAAAAAGGAGTTGCTTCCTTTTGTGAAGCTCGTCGACACTTTTGATGCTTCTTATCACTATGTTGCCAATGATGACACAATTTTCACGTTCTTAACGAATAAGGATGCTCCAAGAAGCAAGCTGGTCCGTGTAGATCTCAGAACACCTAATTCTTGGTCTGAGTTGCTTCAAGAAGATACTAAGGATGTGCTTGTATCTGCTATTGCGGTTAATGGTGATCAACTGGTGTTGAACTATTTGAGTGACGTGAAAAACGTTTTGCAGTTAAGAAATTTGCAAACGGGTGCCTTTTTGCACGATTTACCGCTCGAGATTGGGACCGTGTCCCAGATTTGTTCTAGGCGCAAGGACAGCATCGTCTTTATTGGTTTTACGAGCTTCCTTGTTCCTGGCATTATTTACGCATGTAATTTGGAAGCTGATGTCCCGAAAATGGAAATATTTCGAGAAAATGTTGTCCCGGGGTTTGACAGGACTGCTTTCGAAGCTCATCAGGTAAATACTAACTAGCATAACAGAATCTTTGATGTTAGCTGGAAAAAAAAAAGGAAATTGGAAATTGTGATTTTTTATTTTTTATTTTTCCAGGTTTTCGTGCCTAGTAAAGATGGAACCGAAATCCCAATGTTCATAGTGGCTAGAAAGGGCATTTCCCTCGATGGGTCCCACCCGTGCCTGCTATATGGGTACGGGGGTTTTAATGTCAGCCTCACTCCACATTTTGCAGCTAGTCGTATTGTGATTGCGAGGCATTTGAATGTTGTGTTTTGTGTGGCGAACATTCGTGGAGGGGGAGAGTATGGGGAGGAATGGCACAAAGCCGGGGCCCTCTCGAAAAAGCAGAATTGTTTTGACGACTTCATATCGGCTGCCGAGTATCTGGTCTCTGCCGGTTACACCCAGCCGAGGAAGTTGTGCATTGAGGGTGGGAGTAATGGTGGGCTTCTGATTGGGGCTTGTATTAATCAGGTACTTTCTCTTTTGTTTCTTGGTGTTTTTCATCTTATACTGGAGTTTTCAGTCTTTTTAATAATGTCTTCATTTTCAATTTAGAAAATGATTTTGGTAACTTGCAGAGACCTGATTTGTTTGGCTGTGCACTTGCTCATGTTGGTGTCATGGACATGCTAAGATTTCACAAGTTTACCATCGGTTGGGTTCTCTCTCTCTCTCTCTCCCTCTCTCTCTCTCTCTCTCTCTCTCTCTCTCTCTCTCTCTCTCTCTCTCAATATTTTATTTATATATCAATATTTTCCATAAACCAGGCCATGCGTGGACATCAGACTTCGGTTGTTCAGATATAGAGGAAGAGTTCCATTGGCTAATCAAGTAAAGCTCTTTTAGTTTAACCAATAACAACCTAACTGGCTTTTCACTTTAGCCTAAAGAACAGAAGGTTATTCTAGTCGAATTGCTCGTCTAATCGAGTTTAACGGTTGCCCAGGAGATTAACTGAGCCTGATTTGCACTAAAAGAAGTTATCTTATTGAATTGCTCTTTCTAAACTCAACCTGAATGCTTCATATATGCATGAATACATGTTCTGTCAGGTACTCACCTTTGCACAATGTGAGGAGGCCGTGGGATAATAAATCTCGTCTCAAGTTAGTACAATATCCTTCGACCATGCTACTGACAGCAGACCATGATGACCGGGTCGTACCTCTGCACTCACTCAAGTTATTGGCGGTCCGTATTTTATATGATTCGAAATTTTACCCCAAAATTTTGATATTTTAACTAATTTGAGAAAATTTTATTGCTGGCTAATAAGTAGGAAAGTAATTCGGCTTCTGAAGAATATGACATGAACAAATACGACAAGCTGCTAACTAACTTCATCTGTTTTACCTTTTTTTTCCCCTTATCAAAGACCATGCAACATGTGCTATGTACTACAAGCTTGGAGACGAGTCCTCAAACGAACCCAATTATTGGACGCATCGAACGTAAGGCGGGACATGGCGCTGGGATACCGACGCAAAAAATGGTAAGAAAGTACTGAATGATGAACGTACAACTTCCCTTTTATAGATTTTGCTTTTCTATGATTGAATTTTTCGAATTTGACCTAAAAAATTGTCTCAGATTGATGAAGCTGCAGATAGGTACAGTTTCATGGCAAAGATGGTGGATGCATGGTGGATTGACTAGAATATGCTGCCAGGGAAGACACAGTGCTTTATAGACTATGAAACATCGATATGTGTGTTTCTATTTGTAGGATTTAAATAAATAATGGTCTCCTTCAAGATCATCTCATTAATGTAATACTTGAAAACATTGCAAATAATATCCTTCTGTGATTCAATCAGTGTCTAAAATCAGATATTCATCTAGAAAAATGGGTACCACAATGCACATTTAAGCAAGGTGGGTGATTGGATGGATGATTACCCTTTCTTTTCCATCAATTATTTCCTACGGAATTTATGAATTCAATTCTAGGCCTGGAAGCAGTCCATCTTAACATCCGTCACGTCAAGTTGCAGTATTTCTGCTCTGCATCCCAGGATTGAACCGACACTGAAACACAAAACATGATATAAGGTAATTAAGGATAAGAAAAGGTGGATATAACTCGAGGAGCAAGAAATGGTAAAAGTAAAATAAAATAAAATAAGAATGGATCTTTCATATGAGCCGGTTAAACCTTACCTAGGATGAGTGCGCCCAAGATCTCCATGAACAAATTCCTTGATGTATGTTCCAGCCTGGTCGGCACACGAATGTCATTTTTTGTGAATTGTTGGGTAATTTTATTTCTAATTGGAAAGTATCATATTTATTATGTTTGCAAAACTTTATTGATAACACGAGTTTCATCATTTTTGGACATTTATGTGAGCATATACGATTTTGCTTCAGAAATAGGTTGAACCAGTCCAACACCAAAATAATAAAATACTTAACCTGTGTACACAAGTGCAGCATGAAATATTGAGAACTTCCAGCTATCCTCTCTATTCTCATCCTGAAATATCGAGCACAACTCACGTAAATAGATCTGGAGAACATGAAAAGATGGCATCACGTGTTAATTAGAAACTTAAGTACCAATGTATGGTTTTCTCACGCCCTAATGGACTTCGGCGGTGGAGAACTCTTATCGGTGTTTTCTGCAATATTTGCTGGCAAACAAACATAACAATAATTTTTAGCATGTCTGAACTAACATATATTGCTAAAGCCCAAAAATTATCTCAAATGTAAATACATTAATTTTTTAAAATACCACGCATTAAATCACATAAATCTCATCTATTCCAGAATGAAAGAGGAATTGAAATTACCATGTCCTTGAGGGATGATAATGTACATGCATCCTCATCATTAAGAGGACGGGAAATCCAAACAAGAGCAGCATATTGTTTCTGCACAAAATGCATAGCATTTTTCAGCATGCATGCTCTTTTAACAGTTGACATATATCCTGGGGATAAAAATAAAATTTTAAGCAAACATATATATAGAAATTGCCTGCTTCTCCGATTCTCCTTCACGCATTAATGCCCAACCCTGGTTTCCTAAAAACTTGAGATTCTTTACTCTCACCTAGAAATCCAAGCAAAACATATCATATAACAATTCATTCAGAAGACGAAAGCCACTGCAAAATCAAAATATTTATCGACTCACAAATTGGCTCTCAAGGCTATTTATTTTCATTTCAATGTCCTTTATTATCGCATCAGAAGGAAATTGGCGTGCATTCTGAATCTCGACTAGAAAAGGCCGCCCAGAACCGAGCATCCGAACCTGAAGAAACATATTTAGAATATACATAGATAAGAAGATGACGGGTTAATAGTTTGATCTCTAAAAAATAAGTTAAAGAATCAAAAGATTATACATCAATATCTTCTCGGCCAGCAGCATGAAACTTGTAACTATCACCCTGACAAATGGGAAGGATATTGCCGCCAACTATTTCCTACAAAAGGATTGCGCATAATTATTATTATTATCATAAGTCAGAAAAAGTGACGAAAAGATTCAAGAATTTGCTTAACCTCAACAGATGCTTCACCCATTCGCTCGTCATCAATAATCCAACGAGTCTGGCTGACATTTCTAGAGTACTGCAGTATAAAAGAGTGCCCCCATAATCTTAGGTTATCGTGAATAAGTTATTATCGATGTCAATTTGGGTAATCAGTGGGTTGGCTTCCTTTTTTTTCTAGTAATCTTCATGAACAATATATGCCATAGCTAAATACACTAACTATTAAATGTTAAGTGGAAAAGTAAATGAACCTTAAGGTATCGCCCACCGACATAGATTGGAGTCTTGTAGCATTGAAAACTCAGGACGCAGAACAGATTGACCTGGAAATAGCAAAGTTCAAATAATATTTGGTGCTCCTTATTTGAAAGGCAAGAAATTTACACAGAAGCAAGCTGTTAAGAGTCGAGTAAGCAGTTAATCAGTGAACGTGAGCATGAAGTGTACCTTCTCTATTGGGAAAGCTAAGAAACCAGCCCCACCATCTTGTGAGTCAATTGAAGAATTTCCACTTGGTACATGGCTTTCAATTTCACACGAGCCACCACTGCTTTTGACGGAGGTAATGTCATCTGTCCCATTCAAAAATTTACATGGGAACAAAAAATATGCAGGATTCATGACCAATGAAGAACAAACATTTCTAGTATATATGTCTACACTGTTATCTTGATTATTATTGTTATTATAAATGAAGCAATGGATTTTCACTCAGGACAGAGGATTTTATGCAGCAGAGATATGATCCCAGGAAAGGTATTTGCTGCATGCAAGAAAAAATAAAAAAATAAAAATTAATGAAAGGAAAAGGAAAGGACGTGCCTAGTTTTCTCTTCTTATAGCTTCCATTGCTCGCGTCAGACCTCTGTCCTTCTGCTGATGCATTAGAAAGTGTGTATGTCAAACGAATTCTGAAGGAACTTTCATTAGACTTCACATCCTGCAATACTCCAAGTATTCTACAAATTAATTTATTAAAGAATAAAGAAAATGGAATCAGAGCACAATTCCTCACATAATTTATATCACAACTCCCATCATAGAAGAAAGCTACGAAAAATACCAATAACTTCTCTAAAGGACTTGCCACTGACAGTTTCAGGAAATCCTTCACTGTCACAACTATGCTTTCAGGTGGAATCTTTTCCTGGAACCAAGGCTGAGAACCGTACTTCTCTTTTATATATGACCTGAAACAAGCATAACTGGTAAAAAACCTTCATTTGTTAAATCATAATACTTATTTTTTACACGCTATCAGGGCATTCAAGGGTCTGTTCAAAATCAGTATTGTTGTTTATGAAAGTAAACAAATATGGTTAGCATTTTATTTGAAGCCAGCATCATCAAAGACAACCAAATCATATTCACCAAACCACAAACAAAATCAACTGACCAAACTGCCAGATCGTTATCAACTACAGCTGATGGCAGCGAGACCTCGAGAGAAAAGCTGTCAACTTGGTGGCCTTCTCTCTTCACAACATCTGCTATTGCAGCAACAAACTCATTAGCATTATTCTTTTTCACCAACACCTTGTCGTCATTATTGTATACAAACTGCAAGATGCCTAGACAGACCCTGCAAACTTGAAAATCCTCCTTAAAATCTTGAACCATTCCTCTGACAATACTATTAGTTCCATCTTCTTCGTGTTCTGATAATTCATGTAGAATTTTATTCAAAATCGGTGTTGCCACAGAAGGACGAGAACATACTTGCTCATGAAGAATAAGTAGCCTGAATATGCATCGTGCACAAACCTGCAGCAGTTAATAAGGGCTTCGTCATATTGGGCACCGAGTTTTCTATACTAACCTTTTAAAGGACCTGTACTTAAGCTTAGCTCTAGAACTATGTTCAGATAGTTTCACTTCCATAACCAAGAATTAAGAAAGATCCATTTAAATTCGATGGAAGCACTTCAAGTTTCAATATAAAACTACAATAAAGGATACACTGTACAAGCAATCAATTAAGATTAAAAAGAAAAAGGAAAAAAAAAAACTTTTTTTGAACTTGACGAAAAAAATTCTAATTCAAATTAATCGGTGCTTCTAGAATTTATTCAACCTTCCAAGCTCCGCAGATAAATTAAAGAGAAACTGACGAAATTCCAAAATCCGCAATTTTCCTTCAATCGAGAAAGAAAAATTGGTTGTGAGGGTACAACTTACGCCATTGAGCAGCAAAGCTTTCAGGACTTCCGATGGTATTTCCCGGGCGGCCCGGCGGAGGGATTCCAGGTCATCAATGTTGGTACCGGCGGCGGAGTCATCCCGGCCAACTCCATTGCCGTCGTGAGCTGGTTTAACGACGTCCGCCATATTCAATTTCGGAGCTCTTACGCTCACTTTGCAGGAGGTAGTAGGCGTAGCTTTTACCAGTGTGCTAATTCTTAAGCTTCAATTGGTAGTTTTAACCGGGCTTGAATGAGATGGCTTGGGTCTCTTCCAGCTTAACCAGTGGTCTCGTGTTCGAGCCCTGGGAATGCAGCAGTGTTAAAACTCTTGAGGGAGAGCTTTGCCACCCTTGTGGTCCTACCCGGCTCGATTCCGAATTAGTCGGTTCCCCTGTGGATTCAGAAATTAGAAAGTCTATGTACCAAAAATTGGTAGTTTTTACGGGAAAATTTTAAGATGCATCACTCAATTTTACCCCTCGTTTTTCAACAGTGTATTCTTTTTGGATGTAAGAGACACTAGTACAACACTCGTGTATTACACGAGTGCTTGTTAAAAAATTATTCTTAAATTTTAAAATTAATGAGAAAACTATATTAAAATTTAGTTTATTTTTTTATAAAAAAAAATATATTACTATATATTTTAGAATGATATGTGTTACTTATGACTTACATGTGTTATATTATATTAGTTTTTATAACTTATATCATATAACTACTTGAAATGTAAATATATTAGTTGATAAATAATTTTATTTTTCTTTAATATTAAAAATAATTTTATTATTGTTATAAAGATAAATATATATTATTTTTTTTATACATACAGTATGGATGTTAAATCGAAACTCATCAAAAGAAGATTAATTTGATATATTACATATGTAAAACTGATTAAAAATACAAAAGTTATTAATTTTTAAAATATATATACAATTCAATAGTTATAATAAGGAATGATATTAAAATTCAATTAATACATATAACATAACCATAAATAATCAACATATTTATGGTAATCCGAACCTAATTATTTTTGTTTTGAAATTAAATTAAAATTTATCCAAGCCTAATAACGAAGAATGTAATGTTGCCACATAGGATTCCGAAGCACCAGAAGCAGCCACGTAGGCTCAGCGCGTTCTGGATTAATATATAGGGGGATTTGAAATTGTGAATCACTATTTACCGTCACATATGTTTGGTAAAACTAGCTGATAAGCTAGCTGATAGCTGATAAGCTAGTTTATAGTTTATCAGTAATTTTTTAGTTTATAGCTTATACCTTATGACTTATATCTGATAAGTTAGCTTATATAATAAAAGTGTTTGGTAAAATTAGCTGATAAGCTAGCTGGAATAAAAAATGCAACTAGCTTTTATTTGAAAAGCTACCTAAGGAAGTTTATCAAATAAGCTCGAGCTTTTTATAAAAGCTCGTCCTACCAAACGAGACTTATATGAATACCAGAAGCTTATAAGCTAACCAAAGAAGCTATAAGCTAGCTTATTTGTCTATCAAACATAAATACGTACAGCCCCCTAATTATTCATTTTTTGTCTTTTACCTCTTTCTAGCATTCTCTCATTTTCTCTCTCTCTTTTGGCTCGCCGGTTATCCATAGGCGGCCGTACGGTTTTTTTTAATTATTTAATTAATTATATATATAAATATAAATAAGTTGTATATGTATAATATAATTATAAAAAATAATAGTTTTATATTCTAATTAAATTAAATAATTATAAGAAATATAATTATAATATATACATATATTAATTATTAAAAATATAATTAATTAATTATAAAAATATAAAATTATTAACATGATTTATATATTAATTAAATTCAGTAAATTTAGGTTAAAAAATATAAAAATAAATATCACTTAATCTTTTAATTTAGATTAATTTAGAAAAATTTTAGTTTAATAGTTATTTATAGTATAATAATTTCTAAATTCTAATTTATAAAATAATAATATATAAATTCTAACATAATTTATATAATATAAAAATGGTGAAAAAAAAATTCTCGTCTGGCCGGTGATCGCTGACATGCACGGTCGTGTCCTACCGGCGAAACAGGACATACACGGTCACGTCTTACCGACGAAACAGGACGCGCACGGTTCTGTCCTACCGGCGACCCGTCGTCAATACAAATCCTCATGAATTGCCTCAACGACTTTGGGGCCAAATCGGGACTAGAAATGAATGTGCAAAAATCAAATATATATTTGGCGGGAGTAAAGGATGTTAACCGTGCTACAATACTTGATGACACCCATTTGCAATGTGGTCTGTGTTGTAATTACGTTACATGTGAAAAGAGAATTGTGAGAATCCTTAGATGGTGTGTTTATTCTGATGCCCTTTCATTACCTAGGTGTCCCTCTCACCGCGGAGCGAGTCACCGCTAGACTCTTTGATGGCTTGGTCAAGCAAATCGAGGCACAACTTAGTGGATGGAGTGGCCACACTATCTCTTATGCCGGTAGAGTGGAGCTTATTCGCTCAGTGATCCAAAGTATTGAGTGTTTTTGGTTGGGAATTTTCCACTTGGCTACTATAGTGCGCACCAAATTTATACAACTATGCTGGCGATTCCTTTGGGGCTCGAAAATCGCCCTCGTTGCTTGGGATAACTTATGCCTCTCGCGCTCGAAAGTGGGTTTGGGTCTTCGTGATTTGAGTGCTTGGAACCAAGCGTTGCTTGCACGTACTCTTTGGAACATGCAAGCCAAGCAGGACACCTTATGGTACAAATGGATCCACAACATTTACTTGGAGGGAAAGTCCGTGTGGGAATGGGAAATACACAAGGATGACTTGCCCCTTTTCAAATATCTCTTCGAAATCCGACGTGTCTTGGTTGATAAGGCGAGTAATGAGCAAGCCGCGAAATCCCTACTTCATCGTTGGAGTTCACGAGGTAAGCAAGTGGGCTGCGAAGTTGTTATGATTTCTTAAGGCCTCGCAGTAAATTGGTGCCATGGACAGGGGTACTTTGGGGCCTTTGCAATACCCTCAATTACTCCTTCATTCTTTGGTTGGGAGTGCTCAACCGTCTCCGTACAAAGGACTGGTTAGAGTTCCTTGGTATAGACCGAAATTGCTCTCTTTGGGGTTTTGTTGAATCATCGAGTCACCTATATTTTGAGTGCCCCTTTAGCTCGGAAATATGGGGATAATTCAGAATTGGGTTAACCTTCGTCATAGGCCATTGACACTTAAAGGGGCTCTTAAATGGATTAAGAAGGAGACTCGATGGGCTAGTTGGCAAACCAAGTTAAAGAAAGCGGCGCTTGCGACAACCGTGCACTTCATTTGGAATGCGAGAAATAGGTTGATTTCTTAAGGTTAATCTCAATCTCCGAGTCTAGTCATCCGTAAGATCTAAACCCATGTTTATCATACAATCTTTGCGTTGCCTCCGAATGCCCTTGCCAAATATGAGAGGAAAGACCTTGGAGTATGATAGGTAACCCCTTGGGGGAAGACTTTTGGGAGAGCAGCTCGCGACCCGTGGTTCACCTTGCAGGCCGTGGGATTTAGCCTCCGCGACTCGCGGTCCTACACGCCGCCCGTGGGAAATTTCTCTTTTGCGTGGGATTTGAGTGAGCAACCGACATGTGGTTACCCTCTTAGACGTATGACCGGCGTGTGAGGAGTCGTGCATGTGGCTGCCTACTATGCTTTTGCAGGCCGTCTGTCGGTTGTTCGAACACCAGTTTTGATCTATAAATTAACTTTTACCGATAAAAAAAAGAGTTTTTTTTTGTTTTTTTTTTTGTTTTTGCCTTTTCTCCTTCTTTGGTTGCAGGCTTGTGGCCAGATTTTAATTAATAAAAAAAAAATTCTCATCTCTTATTTATTGCTTTACCGATTCATGACTATTTCTACGGAGCGAAGAGTTGTTCTCGGAGTCGTAATTCAGAAGGCGGGCTTGTTTAGGAGATGTGTGGATACCTACGACGAAACAAACAAGACGGTGATTGTCACATATCCGATAATTAATTCCTTCTCCATCGTCTCTTATTACAAAGAAAACTAAGGTAGTTTTTATAAATTTTTCACAAAATCAAAATTTGTACGTCATCTTAAAGGATATCAATCGTTATAATCACTATGTAAGTCTATGAGTTTATTGTTAAATCATAATTTTTGATTAATTTTTTATTTTGCTTTTCTGATTTATTTTTGTATATATATATATATATATATATATATATATATATTTATTAATTTTATGGTTAGTATATATTTATCGTTATATGGATTCCTTTTGTTACTTTGATTACTTTCTTTTTAACAGGATTCCATAAGGCAAAAAGAGACCAAAAAGAAGGAAAGACTTTAAAAAGAAAAAAAGGAAAATCGTGGGATACAAGAGGGATACAAGAGGTTTATTCCTTATACTGCTTCAACGTGGATCATACGCAAGAAAATTAAGCAGCAATAGTTTCTTTTGTGGAGCACGGTGTGCTTTGGCTATTGAGCGGACAAATTTCTTCGACTTTTACACAAAAGATTTATCGGGCTTCTCTTCTTTATTTTTGTTGATCTTTTGTTATATTCGAGAGATTATTATGATATAGTTTAAACTCGCGATTTATTATTTTCGTATTTCACTAGATGTGTTTGGATTGCATGAAAAACATTGAAGTTGATTTGTTCTGGTGGAATTTTGCCATGTGGTCTTAGTCTACAAGTATTTTACTTGTAGGCTAAATTTTAAATCTTTTGTGTTTATTTATTTTCCGCTGCGTATTTTAATTCTTGATTTCCGTGTGAAATCGGGATATTTACGTACCTAAAATTCTAACATTTAGTATTTATTCAAATTAATGTTTGCTTTATTTCAATAAATATATTCTTTATTTCGTTTAGTTTTCATTGCGACTTATCGCACGGTATTGAGAACTAAAAAAATAGATAACTAAAATACCAAAAATCTAATGTTGCCTACTATCAATAACGACATAAATGTATTTGTATAGTCAAATTTTATTGAGTGGTATGGTTCTCAGTTAAATCATACAGCTAAGTATTACAAAAATCAACATAAAATTCTTTATATCTCCCTTCATATATCTCTTCATTAGTTCCTCATTCGGTTCTCCAGTTAAATTAACCATA